TTTAGAAAATAAACTTTTTAAGGGTATTTTGAGTCAGCCTTTTATTTTATTAAGACTAATTCCTTTGAGATGAAGATGCATCTTAAAATTGAGTAATAATATTAAGAAAAAGTATAAAGGTGAATATTAAAGTATTAGATAGCATAGCACTCTTCAATTATTACACTAATTAATGTCTTGAGTTTTATTGGATAGTAACGAATCCAGTTATTATATATTAACAACTATCAGTATCAATTTTAGGTGTATAATATATTCTAAACGTCTAATCGAATTTCAACTTAAAATTTCATCCAAATTATCCAATATATATATATATATATATATATATATATATATATATATATATATATATATATATATATATATATATATATTTTTTTTTTTTTTACATCTCCCCTTTTACTCTATAATCATAAATATTAAATAATAGAAATCAGTTAATATTTTTTTATATAAATTATATATATATATATATATTAAAATGTATATTTAATTATATAAATATTTTTTTAATTTTTATTTGTTAATTAATATTTTATTAAATAAATTAAGAAAATCATTATATTTATATATTAAAATAATTAATTATAATCAATAATTTAAGTTTAATTTATTAGTATTTATACTTTAATTAAATTATATTTATATATCTCAATAACATAAAAAAATATAATATTTATTATTTTAATAATTTTTATTTTTATATATAAATTTTTTAAAAGCGAGTTAACAAATAATTGGTTTTGTCTTTAGTTTATTAAGGTAGTGGGTTAAATATAATAAATCAAAAGATTAAAATTATCAACTTATTCTATTATTTTTATGTATATTAGTGGATTGATTCGTTGAGTCTAATTAGTTTTGATATTCTTAATTTTAATTTAAAATTAATTTACAGTGATCAATAAATATATAAATTATATTTAAATAATTAAAGAAAACCATGTCAATCTTTTTCTAATAATAAGATATGTAAATTCAACTTTTTAAAATCAGAAATTTGAATAATAGATAGGTTGAGAGTAGGGATGGCAATTAAACCCGTACTCGTGGGGACCTACCCGTCCCCGTCCCGAGTTTGACTGGGAAAACCCGAGTTGACCGGGGCGGGGTCGGGTTCGGGTTTCTCCGCTTTAAAAGTCAGGGCGAGGCGGGGATGGGTAATGCAATCCCCACCCCGACCCCGCCCGTCCCCGCCCGTCCCGCCCCGACTTTATATTTAAATTTAAATTTTAAAATATTAATATTTAAAAATATTTCATTTTCTTTTTCTATTACATATAAGATTATTTTTTTATATTTCACTAATTTTTATTTTTCTTCTATCCACTTTTTAATTTTTTTTATCTTTTTCAATCTTTTATATCAATTAATTTATTATATTATTCTCTCCCTTATCTTTCAGCTTTTTCACATTTTCTTAGTTTCTCCCATCAATTTGTTTTTTTTCAATCTTTTCAACCAATTTGATGAATACAAAGTTAATCTTTTTTTCTTTATCTTTTTTCTAAATATTTTACATCAATCTTAGTAGTAACTAATATTAGTTTATTTATAATTTATATTTATTATGTCATATTTTTTTATCTTATTATGCTTATTTATCATATATCAAATTTTATCTTAATAAAATAATTGCATTTTAAAGGATTAAAAGAAATTAATAATTTAAACTTTTATTACTTCAAACTAATTAAATAAGAATTAAATTATTAAATATTTTCTTATAAACTATATATTGACAACTTAAAAATGAATTAACTTATATGTATAATTAAATATTTGAATACAGTATTATAATAATAATGTTATAAATATTCAAATATTTGAATACATTGTTATAATAATAATAATAATAATAATAATAATGTTATAAATATTAGATATATATATAAATAAAAAATAATTAAATATTTCTTTTACATATATATTTTAATATAAATATAATAAATTAAAATGTATATTTAATTAATAATAATTATAAATTATAAATATTTATTTATATATAAAAATACATAGTAAAATTAATTTATTATAAATATAATTATCTTTTTAAAAATAATATAAATCGGGACGACGTGAGGAGGAAACCCGAAACCCAACGGAACGGGGATGGGGACTTAATTCCTAACCCCGACGGGATCGGGGACGGGACGGGGATAGTTAAAAAAGTCGGGCGGGACGGGGAGGCCCGCCCGCCCCGTTGCCATGCCTAGTTGAGAGTTTAAAAAAGTTAACCAAAATTAATAAAATAATATTTTTATAATATAACATGTATAATAATTTTATTAATAATAATATTTTTATAAAATAAAAATCAAGATAATTGTTATCGTCATGTAAAAAAAATTAAAATATATTATATATTTTATAAAAAATTATATTAAAAATTATAATCTTAAATTATAATTTTTATTAAAATCGAATCCAAAAATTTAGCTACTTTTTTTATTTTATCCCAATTTTTCTAATTTTATCTCAATTTAATTAAAATCTAATTATTTAAAAGTAATATATTAATTATTATACTAATTCTCAATTAGATTGATTAAATCCACTCATCCAGTCGATTTAAAAAAAATGTGTAAAGTTATCAATTTAATTATTACATTATAAAATAATATTTTTAAGTATTAAACAAACGTCTATATATACGTATTGGTAAATTGTATTAAAAAATATAACAGTAAATTTTATTTATATTTTATATAATATATTTTTTACCAGAGGGAAAAAATATTACTTTTTAATGGTAAATAATATATAAGTTTATTTATATCAATTAAATAAATTTAAAATTATATAACATTTTATAAATTGGATCTTATTTTATGATTATGTGGATGTTATTTTGAATATAAAAAAGAAACCATATTAGAGAATATCCACATTATGATATAATAATAGTTCTCCACATTATTACATCACTATTAATGATTCTTACCACAACATTGGTTAAAGGAAAATGATATTCTTAAAACACTTTTAAGTGGTGAGAAATGATGCTTTGCAATTACTCTACTCCCACGTAATCATTCCACCTATTAGGGCATTCATAGATCCAACATCTCAAAATTACATAATATTCATCCACACTTTTTATATATTATATTTAATTATAAAACTAATTTATTGTAATTTAATTTACAAATAAGAATGTCATATAAATATCACACATTTAGAAAATAAAAATAAAAATGAAGAATTAGACCAATTTTTGTAGGGAACATTATTTAAATTTAGTTAATATTCTAGTAGATTACACTTACGAGTTTCGTACCACCTAAAAGTTAAAAGTTAAGATTAATGTAATTTATATATATCTTAACTTTAGGTTCCATCACTTTTCTTGCTAATTATCTTGGATGTGTGGTGACGATTACTGTTGGGGGTGGACCCGCGTTGAGTAAGAGTCCATTATCGGCACACCAGCCCACCAATGCTTCGAAAGGGGGGCACCATAGAATCATACAAGTAGACAAAGTCAGTGTTCGTAACAGTTACTCTCATGAGGTCACAAAATCCACTTCTATATAATATTTTCTTAAATGAAAATTAATATATGGAGTATGTAAACAACTATGCTAGTGCCTACACACAATGAAACCACAAAAAGGAACAACTTTACCCACCAATTACATAGTGCAATTAAGTGTTTCACACCATCTCTTTAATACATATATGCTGTGTAAACCAATTAATACTCATAAGAGAATATCATGAATTCTTCATCATCACAGGTGCTTAAATCATCTCACATATTATCTACTTTCTAATGTGAAGTTGTCCCTTCCATTGTTCTTTCTTGGAAATTTAGAGTTTGTTTGTTTAGGATTTTGAAAAATAGTTTTCAGATTTTTTTTCTAGTTTATTAACTGTTTTGTTTAACTAATTTTTAAAAATTGTTTTTGTTTTTTTTCATAAAAAGTATTTTCTACCTTAATTTTTTTGTTTTCATCAATTAGTATCGATGTTTTTACCAACAATCACTCATTTGGATCATTGTAAAGTTATAACAATTTTATTTTTAATTTTTGTCACGAATTTTCATATTATTTTTTTATTTAAAATAATTTTTAAAAATAGAATTATAAAACAAATTCAATTTATTTACAAAAATAATTTTTTTAAATTACCTCTAAATTTTTTTATAAATTTTAAAAATAAAACTTAATCAAACAAACACTTAAAATTCGTCTCAAAAACATCTTTCGAGATGACAGAAAACTAAAAACATAGTTACATGCCGTATAAGAAATATGTTTTTTTTCTCTCTGATATTATCTTATCCAATGCATTTTGTCTTCTCTTCTAGCAGTTCTTTATATACAACAACAATTTCTCGTTAAGAAATAATCTAATCAACCCCACTTTTTGTCCTTTAATAAAAGAATAACGTGTTTAAAAAATAAGCTCTTTAATATGTTAATTATTTTGTCGACCTATGGTTTTGTTTTTGTGTTAGAAAAATAACACGTACAAAAGTCTCTTCTATACAAATATTTATTTTACATGCAGAATTCAAAAGCCAATGACATTCACTGAACACAAACAAATTTTAAACACAGAATCATGAACGATTAAAGCTACTTTACAACTCAATACGCATTAAATTAATTAAAATGTGAATAATTACAGCCACGCATTTTCCTTAACCCATTGATGCTGGTATTGGAGAATTTGAGAAAATAGGTAAAGCTGAAATTGATTTAAGTAATATGGTGGAATATTTTTACACAGTTGAATTTTCCGTTTGAACTCCGTTTTGCGTGAAATAACGGAGTTCTTGTGAATGCCCAGTGGAAGCAACTGATATAAACATAGCAGCAACAAATTTTTACACTACCCTCTTAATGAAATTGTTATGACGTGTCATTTTTCAATTGGAAGGGAAAAAGGGTGAAGTGATTCTCAATACAAATACATCCATATAAATATAGGACTTAGGTTGTGTCATTTCATTGGCTCAACATATTAGTTATTAAGGTTGCCAAGACATGGAGAACCACCAGAGACAAAACTGGTTGCAAAATGCAAAGCCGTTCGCAGCAGTGATATCAATGCAGTTTGGATATGCAGCAATGGATGTTCTATCCAAAGCTGCAATGAACAAAGGGATGAGCAATTATGTGTTTGTCGTTTATCGTCATGCAGTTGCATTCTTTGTCATGACCCCTTTGGCATGGTTTTTTGAGAAGTATATATATACCTTTCTCTTTCTACATGTTTTCGTTTTGTGTGAGTTATAATATGAATTAAACTGAAGCAACACTGCATTGTTTGAACAGGAAAGTAAGGCCAAAGATGACACTGTCAATTTTCATGAAGATAGTGGTGCTGAGCTTGCTAGAGTAAGTCATTTCCTTCATTTATGAACGAACACATTTAACTCTTTTCTGAATGGAATCATGTGATAATAACTTGACTCTTTTGGTGTTGTTTTTCTCTGTGGCAGGCCAGTTATTGACCAGAATTTGTATTTTTTGGGGATGAAGTACACAACAGCAACCTTTGCTGTCACCATGACCAATATGCTTCCTGCCATTACCTTTATCTTCGCATGCATTCTTAGGTACTAACTACATTAATTATTTCACTCCGCTAAGTGAGAAAAAGAAGCTAGCTTTCAAATATGTTCGAAAACTAATCAGATAAAGATGTTGCCGTGTTGGTCTTGCTTGCTTGCCAACCAGCTGAAAGATAGAGATTCTTATTTAAGACGACTTAGCTAACAAAAATTACCACTTTTGTATGCATTTTTGGTGTAATTCAAAATTAGTTTAACATGATTATCATAAAAATCTATGAACTTAACCTATATGACAGTCTGTGATTGAACAGTGTAAAACTTTTTGAACTTATTACTTATTCATTGCTTTTTAGTTTTATAGCACATCATTTCTGTGTCCGTTAGATTTTGAGTGTATATATAAATGATGGGGTAAAGCAATTTCCTCTTCTTCTGATCAGGCTTGAGAATATAAAAATAAGAAACATACGCAGCCAAGCAAAGGTGGTAGGAACAGTAGCAACTGTTGCGGGTGCCATGATCATGACACTGATTAAAGGTCCAATTCTTTTTGGGTCACACGTAAACAATGATCACAGCCAGCATGATGGGACGAGTACTCAACATACAATAACGGGGTTCGTGATGATCACAATTGGATGCTTCAGTTGGGCTTCTTTCGTGATCTTACAGGTGAGTTATTCTGATGCATCATTCAATAACAGTAGAAAAGACCAGAATAATGATAACTGGGTACTCATATATGTATCAAACTATCACATCTATCTTCACGTAGAGAGGATCATAGAGATGAGAATTGTTAATTGACAGGGTCCTAATGACACAACTTCATCCCTCTTTGTAGGCTGTTACACTTAAAACCTACCCTGCTGCACTCTCTCTCTCTGCATGGATATGCTTAATGGGCACAATTGAAGGTGCTGCAGTGGCTATGATCATGGAAAGGGGCAAACCTTCGGTTTGGTCTCTAAAATTTGATATAAGACTGCTCTGTGCTGTTTACACTGTAAGCCATTTCAACCTATAACTTCTCCAAATATAAGAAAAGGAAAAGAAAAAAAAAAAAAACACGTTAAATGCATCATGCATTGCATGGAAGAGAATACAAAAATACTAATAAGGAATGACATCACCAAGTGGCAACTTTTTTCCTACATTTGTTGGGGTTGGCAAAATCCACTTCTTCTTGTTTTTTAATAATTTTTTCACAGCACCTTGTGAGATGAAAGGTGGATAAAAAAATGAAAAATAAAAGAGAGAAAAAGTAAGAACATTGAGATAAAAAATGAAACAAAAAATAAAGAAAATGAGAGAAGGAACAGAAAATATAACGTGAATGAAAGTCCACCACGTGAAATTTATATATATACATAATCTCAACTTTATATAATTTAACTTTTATTAGGTAAGGTGACATTTTTGTCATCTATTTACACGTTAGAAAAACTTGACCCGAGTAGCTACTAGAATTTCCTTTTTCCAACTTGTGCTCTTATACCTCCTTAATTAATAATTGACATATTATAGTAATTAAAAAATTCGTAAGAAAAGAATGTTATAACTTTCAGTTTGTTAAAACGTCATTTTTTTCTTAATAAAGAGAGGTTCTGTCACCTTTAAATGGAATAAATAATTTGAACTTTTGTGTATAAATGTGTATCAACTTTGTGTGTGGTTCATTTCCTTCATATTGAAATCTCTAGTTATACTGGTGGCATCTAAGGCCTATCTTGTGAAGCTACTACCAATATTAAGGACAAAAAATAGATACGATTCTTTACGTCTTTTAGATATTATTCTCTGATTAAAATAGGATTTTGCTTTTCTTAAAAAAATTCAATTTTTTTAGTAATTAGTTAAGTACAGGTTAGAATTTAAAGTTACATCACTTTTCTGGATGAAAGTTAAACTGTGATTCCAAAATAATACTAAAAACACCTAAAAGAAATAAAATCTATTTTTCTCCTATTAGGAAAGTTTTAAGGAATTATGAGAAAGATACAAAACTCATTAATATATATATATATATATATATATATATATATATATATATATATATATATATATATATATATATATATATAACTACATTTTCTTTTCACTTCCCCCTAATCAATCAAGTGTGAAAAAGTTCACCTTTTCTTTCTCTCTCTCTTCTTTTAATACAAACAATATATGTAAAAACCCATAGAAAAAAAGAAGAAGATAATATTTCTCTTTTATTTTCTTTCTTGATTCAAAGTGTGGATGAGACATAAGTAATTTTTTCCACCCAAGTAATATAGTGCATACTTCTAATGCTCATTCTAATATATCAAGAAAACATTCACCTACAGGGCATAACCTGCTCAGGAGTGGGTTATTACTTGCAAGGAGTAGTGATGAAAAGTAGAGGCCCAGTCTTCGTTACAGCATTTAGTCCCCTCTGCATGATAATCGTGGCTGTCATGAGCTACTTCATTCTGGCCGAGCAAGTTTTTCTTGGAAGGTAATCATCAAAATCAAATACCTATGAGTCTATGATATTTTTTCACACCTATGATACGACATTGACCAAAACCTTAATGAAATATGATAAATGTTGCAGAATGATCGGTGCCATTGTCATTTGTTTGGGCCTATACGTTGTGGTGTGGGGGAAAAGCAAAGACTACAACCCACCAGACCCAAATACTCAAGAGCCCATAGAGGCTGAGGACAATGCTAAGAAGGAAAATAGCACTTGCTGCACTCGCGGAGTCACCACCATCACCAATTTTGGAAATGGAAACACAGTTCCAAGTGAAGAACAAGTGTGAGGAAAACTTTCCATTTATGCAATTTCTGTATGAGCAAAAGCAGCTATGTTTGTTCCTAGTTGTTTAATCCTCCAATTAAGAAATAGGAGATCATAGACTTTTTACGTTTTGCAAGTAGATTAAAGTAGTAGATAGTAGTGAAAAATAGATTATGGTGTTGCATAGTTAGATGTCACTGTGTAACAACAATAAATTACAAAGGCACTACCCTTATCAAGTTCCTTATTAATCATAACATAACCCCTTCAGATGTTAACAGGAATTTGCAAGTGTATCACATCATACAATATTCCGATTTCCATTCAGCAAAAGAAAATGGAAATGATTTACTAAGAAGATGCCGAGGCTGGATTAAATCCACTAGATAAATGAATGACAACATCACAGAATATTTGGTTGTATTAATAAGACATTGACAACAAAATCAATTTACCTTCATGAAATTTATAGACTATATGCTACCATGACTGATCCAATTTTGCAATACATATTCCATTTGGTTTGGTGAATTTCATACTATTTTCTTCAAAGACGAGTTTATCATCAAATGGGTAAAGGATTCAAAACTAATGCATTCACAATCGGTCAGCAAAAGGTGTATCGGAATATTGCTCCTATGAAACCAACAAAGATTGTCCTATCTTGAAACTCAATTTCTCCTTTATAACAATTGCTTCACTTCTTTGTTTTGCACATATGTGCTGGAATTCCCTGCTGCAGCCAAAAAAGATTCTGCAAAGGAGAAAGAAAATCAAATGAGAGGAACATTTTGGACCAACATAGAGATATTAGACAAATCCAGAAAACACCACATAAATGAACAAGATAAATTACCTTTCCAAATGCAGAAAGATTTCTGATTGATAGGTGCACCGGTTACAGTCTGAATAACTTCAAACAACATGCTTTGTGGAGTGCTCCTCAGCTCTTGTACAACCCCGTAAATAGTTTTCCCATTATCAAAGTAAATGTGATTATTGGGGTGTTTTGTCTTGCAACCAGCATGTCGCTCAAATTCATATGCATTAATAACCTGGAAGAAATGTAAGATTAGTCAGAGGTATTCTGGCTCAAAAAAGGATTCTCTTCTATGATAAGGATCAACCAAACTTTACCTTGGAAAAATTACATGAGTGACAACTGCACAAATACCCAGCACCTTTTATAACACCTCGAAGTTCCTTCTAACAAGCATAGGAAGAACCAGACATGTGATGAAAGATAAGCTACTGTGAAAGATGAATTCATTAATACTAAATTTTACCTCCTGTGACCACGCCTTATACTTTACTGAGAGACCATCCAGCATACCAGTGGATAACAAACTTCTGACATTTGAAGGGAAGTTGTTTGAAGTAGCTTTTTTAGACATTTTTGTCTCCTCTTTTTTCTTGAGAATATTTTCAGTTTCAGGTGCAGATGTCTGACCTTTACTTGGAAGTAAATTAGAACTAGGTCTAACCAACTCTTTCTCATTCACAGCCTCTGGTTTGTGTGAAAGTGCTTGACACATCAACAGTTCATAGTCAGAAATGAACAAGTCCGAGGGCGTTGTATCATCATCACAGCTACCAAAAGATATGATGGTGCTCTCTCCTTTATCATAGGAGCGTGAAACAAATGGCACATCATTTCCCTCCTTGTGGTAGGTGTAATGAGATGATATAGTGCCATTGTCAACCTTATTGTACAAGTAGTTAGTTAACATAGAATTGCCATGGGTCTTATTGTAAGCTTGAGCACTAGATATTACATGACTATCCACCTTACTGAAGCCATTATCCATTAAAATCGGATTACGAATCTCATTGAATGTTGGATGTATAGATAAACTGTCATTTCCCTTGTTATAGGATTGACCCATTGACATTAAATTGTTATCTGTCTGATCATAAGCACCATCCATTGCTATGATATTGGCTCCTCCTTTGTTGTAGGCAAGACTTGTTGACATGGAATTTTCACCTGTCTTGTATAGACAAGGATTTGACATAGTGTCACTAACTCCCCTATCATAGGGATTATTTGTAGTAACAGACATGACATTCTCAGATCCTTTCACCTCATTTACTCTCACTTTTCTAACTCCATCATAGTTAAAAACTAAACGAGGATCTTCTATCATAGTTGACATGGATAAACCAAATGAGGACTCATTTCCAAATGGATCCATGTTATCCTTTCTCTCCACACTCAATTTATCATCTATGCTAACAGAGGGAGTATTTGCATCTTCAAAAGTCATATTTGCTGCATCTGAGGCAAATACTTGTTCAGTAAAATGACCATTTAAAGAGTGAAACCCTGAGGAAGTTCCCCACGAAGAAATATTTGAGTTGAGCATTCCAGATAACAAATTGCTTGGACCCTCTATTGTTTGTTTCTTAATAGGAAGCAGATCCAAATCAGGGTCATCCATGAACCACGGATAAGCCCGCTTGGAATCAATTCTAGAAGCATTGTCATTTGTCATGTCACCATCATTCAAACACCAAGGACTCTTCCCCGTCCAAAATGCTTGATTGTGAAATGACTGTCAAAAAAAAAAATCATTAGAAAGATGCTCCTTCCTATCACTATCGAAGAATTTCAATGTAAAAAATCTTGCCACTAAATCCGAGCTATAGATAGAACAAACTTTACCATGCATACTATTACCAATAAGGAAAAACATTTAGAGACACGGGTGCCATTCAGAACCATGAAAAAGCATAATACTGCCTCCTTTTAAACCTCTACATCACATTTCTATGTACCGCTTAAATTAAGAGGGCAGAAAATATATCTGAACCAAAAATGTATTTGCAAGATAAACAAAACTTATCACATGAAGACACTCTCCTCTAGCTTTAGATTAACACACAATGAATACGCATGTAAATGCAATTATTTCAATCAAATGTCCGAATCAAAATTCGACATATAGCCAATTGCCACCACCAATGAAAATAAAAACAAAAAATAAAACAGCACTTTTGACAAAGCTTTAGGTTAGCTAAAGACTGCTTCATCAACAAAGCACGACATAATCTAAAGATAGAAAGCAAGTGCATGCAATTAAAAAAAAGGCCGAATCATCATAATCAGTGAATCATGCAACAAAAAAAATTTAGTAATTGAAACTAGAACAGAATGGGAAAATTCCTAACCAATACACACATTTTCCTTACTAGACCCTGGATAATCTTTATTCAGGTTAATGGAAATAAAAACAAAAATCAGTAGTAAATCCCTTTATCCACCAGTAAAACAAAGTTGTCGGTTTTAATTAAAATGGACTGCGAAAGCATAAGCAGCCACAAACAAAAATTCCATGCAATGAAGTGGAAGCGAAACATACCATATTCCTCTTCACTGGTTACAAAGACAATGGAGCTATGTTGGTCTTTCCGATGAAACTTGCCAATAATGAGGGGTTAGTCGAGAAATTTGCCTGCCAATGAGCACCCCCAAAAGCAAGTTAAACTAAAAACCGTTGCTTTATTCGAAAATGGAACATGCAATGGTAAAAACCACATCTTTGGTGGCTGCAGAAGCTAATAAAATTGGGGTGAACAAAAAAAGAGAGAAAAACTCACATGTCAGTGTCAGTGAAGGGAGGAAGCGGAAAATAAGAAGAAGAATAGCATCGGTTATGATTTGATTCGTAGTGTAGTGAGTGAAAATGCGTTACTCTGAACGAAGCAATGAAGCTTCGTTTGAGAGAGGAGGGTTGTGAATGATGAGCAGCAGAGGCACACGGTAAGATCGGTAAGGGGAAGTAGAAAGATATTAAGGACTTTGTGCTTGTCGGAAAAGTTAAACCGTGGTGCTCCGCACGATCGCATCGTCACGTCACATCTTTGCCGTACACGTGGCGTCATCGAGTTCTGTGCGTCAGAGGTTCATCATACGCCGGCTGCCTCGCCTCACCTCACCCCAGTCACTCTCTGTCTCCCTATTCTACTCTTTTCCTTTTATTTCCAAATAAACCAAATTTTTTTTTTTCTTAGTTTCACTTCATTCAAAATTAAATCAATTATCTATACTCTACCTTTCAAACTTCTCCTCTATTATCATCTTAAACTTTAAAATTTATATTATTAATAATAATAATAAATTTATAATTACTAATAATACTCCATTTACTCTATTACAGCATTTTAAATTAAAATTATTTATTAATTATTTAAAATAATATTTTATTAATAAATATTTAAATTTTTTAAATAATTATTTCATTAACAACTGTTATAAATAAGCAAATTAGAATAAAAAATAGATTTTTTTAAATTAATAAAATAAAATTAATAATAAATTACTTAAAAATAATAATAAAATTAATAAAATAAAATCAACAATAAATAATTTCTTAGACTATGTAAAATGTTGATGTTTTAAAAAACAAACTTAAGGATGCTTTCTTATAATGAAAATATTTTATTATTGTAATAAGACATCACGTGATAATATATATATATATATATATATATATATATATATATATATTTATATTTATAATCAAAAGAGGGAGACAAATTAAGTATAGTAGGATAGAATAATTTGTTTATATGTTATTTTTCCTCTACTCTCTTCGTATCAATTTAAATTATAATAATAATTAATATATTAAAAGTTAACTTTTTAATATTCAAATATTTATTGATATCAATTTTATAAAACTTATATGATTTATCTATAATTTTCAGGGAAAAATATATAAATAAAATACAATTTTATTAATATTAATTTATATAATGATATGTATCATAGTTTTATGAAACTAACATTCATGTTGTATCCTCTTAACTTATTATGTCATGTCTATTACATGTACCTATGAAAATTTAAAATATATTAAAAATTTTTAAATTATTTTATGTTTAAAATATTACTGAGTTTTTTAATTTATTAGTTTTTTTATTTAGATACATTTTCTCATTTTTTATCAAATATAAAAAACAAAATAAATATTAAAAAATATTTAATGTTTTTAAATATTAGTACGAAATATTAGTTAGTTTTGGCTAAAACAAATTCTCCTAATTAAAACTAGTCAAAGTTTTCATTATCCACGTAAAATTTAATCTTGATAATCTTTTAACAAATATAATATTAGTAACGTCGTTTAAAATTTAATAGTTATTAAGAAATTATCTCAACATCATGTAACAAATTATCTCGCTAATCTTTATTAAGAAAATCCTAAATAATATTCATAGGAAAATAACTTTAGTTTACGTGGATAAAAAATATTCTAATAATTTCAATTAAAAATAACCCACTCTATAAAAAATAAATTATAAATATAACTTATACAAAGAGACATTCAAAATCCCCATAATTTTTGTAAGTGAAATTAAAATTCTATTATTTAAAGAATCTGATTTTTTTCATAAACTTCTATAATTTTAAATTTTTTAAAATTCTTTATCCAAACAATATACATTTTATTTTGTAAGGTTCTTTATGAAAAAAAATTATTTTCTAAATTTTTTTTCATCCAAAATATTGGTATAAATTATCTATAGTAAAAACAATTATTAACACTACCTATATAAAGTTGGACTTGTTTTAATATATTTAAGAAATTAGTTTTAGTAGATTTTTAGCTCTAATTAGCTTTTTCAATTTTTGTTTCAAATTTCAAACTTTAATTTTTTTTTCTGGTTGTTTTATTAAAATTTGAAAATATATTATTAAAAAATTTAAATAAAAAACTTAAAATAAATTATAAATACTAAACAAATTAATAATTCTCGTATTTTAGTTTATTTTAAAATAACTTTGTAAAATCTAAAATAACCAAACAGAATTTTTTTAGAACAAAACTAATTATTAAGCCAAAAATAGGAGATGATAACTCATGAACACTCTATTACTCATGTTACTCAACAATTTGCCACCTACAACGATGCCTGCAAAATAGTTATTGCTGGAATAATCAGTGGCATTTCCACAATTAAAAGTTGAGGGCAAGCTGTCTCAAACAGTGCACCAGTTAAACAAAACTCTCATGTTAGGCCAATGACCCTTCTATAGCATAAGGCCTCAACAGTTTTTGGTTCATTTCATACACCCTTACATCAACATGTGTAGTAGCCCCCAACACCACCCCTTCATGATTACGTGCCAAAGAAACATGCCTGTGCCACTTTTTATTCAATAGATGCATAAAAAATGATTTAGAGAATGGACATGCTCATTGGTTCCATGAGAATGGATATCAATCATTTGACATAATGCTTTAGAGAATACTTGTTGATTGCTGTTATACCAGATAGACTTTGTAATGTCGAAAAGGTCTGAAATTGTTGCTCCATGTCCATGTAGTACAGAGGGTCTTAACCAGTCCATGAAGGGGAGAAATTTGGGTTGCTTCAATCTTATGAAGAGATCGAAAGCAAACCAGATCTTTAGGACTAAGGGCATGTTAGTAGAACATGTTCTATTGCTTCAGCTTCACAACCACATATTGGAGATAAGGACCCACTTGAACATGACAACGACATAAGTTGGCACACACTGCCAAAGGTTATGGCAAACACGCCATACCAAGTTCTTGCATGTTGGTGTTGAATTAATTCATAGCTTCGTCCATAAGGGATCATGAGCATTCCTTGCTGACCCTGCCTCCATACCATATATAGCTCTTGCCAAATGGTGACCCGACTTCACTCTATATTTTCCTTCTTCATTGTATTGCCATATCAGAGTATCTCTGGACTCCATTTCCAAATCTTCAAATGGCTACCAGCCTCATTAATCCATCTTGTCTCATGCATGCTTAGCCAATTATAGCAATTGTGTCCTTTTGGTTCCTCAAGAGGGGACTTTACGAGGATAATATAGTTCCTTGAAGAACTTAGGTAGTAAAGATTTTTCATTAAGCATGAGAATTCACCACTGCTTGGCTAAAAGTGTCATATTAAAGGCTCTGACATAATGAAAACCCAACCCACCATCTTTCTTATGTTGGGTTGATTTGCTCCAACTAAACAAAGCATTTTCTTTCTTTCAAAAATCACCACCCTAGTGAAAATTTGGTGTAAGGTTTAATCTCCCTCCATAAGCACGAGGCAACTCAAAGCACCCCATCAAAAACAAAATTATAACTTTTCTTCCTGTTCTTGACAGAGCCTTTTCTTTCCACCCCTTTATTAGCAAAGATCAAAAACAAAATTTTAAACTTTTTGAAAGATAAAAATCAAATATAATTTTATACGAGCTAAATATAAACTCACTAATTTTCCAGTAATTAAAAATATATTTAAATAAAAAAAGGCAAATGAGAAGGATAATGAAAAGGAGAACTTACCTGCGTGGTGGTCTGAAAAGGAGAGGATGAGATAAAATAGGTAAGGCTGGGCTGGGCTGGGCTGGTTGGGGAGGGGAAGAAGGGTTGAGGATAGTAAAATGGTAGTTTTTGGGGTTTTCACAAATTTGCGACTGAAGTTAGGAAAACCCGGGGTGCAAATAACATTTTGCCAAGGTTAAAGTAGGCCCGGTCCAGGCCCAACTAAAGTTCTTCTTTTAGGTAGCAATTAACAATTGAACTCTTTCCATTTCATGACCCTGATAAAAATAATATAAAATATTATATCCTAATTAATTGATTACATTATGAGTTAATTGCATAACATAAACTTATTTATTTTCCCGTCATTTATAGTTGAAAATTTAATTGATAATCAAAACTTGTATAATTCTAAACGCAATAGAAATTCATATTTACATAGACATGTATAAATGTCTTACATTACTTTCCCATTATCATCCTCGTCCTTTTATCATTATCACTAATAATAACATCTTATAAAAGATACCGAATTCGTGTTGCAAAGAGATGAACAAGTATCATACTAAGCTGCAATATATATTTTACAAAACAAAATTCGATACATTGTATTGAACAACGATAACAAAACTAATAAACAATTTGATTTACAATTTTGTTTCAATGGCGAACAAAATAGATACCATTCTTGGGCAACAGCTGAAGTAGACCAACCAAACATTTGGAAGATGGGAACCTTAAAGTTTATCCAAAGCTCAGGAAAAAGGAGCACGCATGATTAGAGATACCCATTTCTTTCTTCACTCCAATGCAGTTCCTCTAATCATTGCTAGCTCACACTTCTCTCCTACACAACATGTCACATATTTTCAGCTTCGCCAGCCAGAAGGGTGCATGCCAAATTGCCAAGGCTCGCATGTGAACTTTTTACAACATAAAATACTAATGAATTGAATCCTCTGTTCCAACAACAACAAAAAAAGTGAGGAACACAGAACCCGAACCTTGTCAGGGCACACCGCTAGCTGCGGCAACTCGATGGTCGTGTCACTTGTTACTTTACCTTCTCGGAAATTGGTCACTGGTCACCACTTGGTGTATATATATATAGTATCCTATTCCTATGTACTAACTCAGAACCCTGCAGGTGCGGTGTCTATGTTCCCTCGTTAGCAACAACAGTTGTTCCTCTGCCTGAACTTTGGCAAAGCAAGATGAGGACAAGCCAGCGTTTGTCAAGGTTCTAGAGGAGCATGACCTTGACATTGAGATTGAACTACTCTCTGATGCAGCAATAGAGGAACTTAGCTTCTCACATGTCATTGTCATGTCCACATGAACCGAGAATAGTGAATACACTGGCCTGTGATCTGAGAATTTGGACTCTCCTCTCACGTACCATAACTGCTCCACGCCATCTCCTTTCCACAGTATTCGATCGCACCTTTTGTTTTGTCACACACAAACAAGTTAGTTCACTTCAGTTGTCACCATAGAACAGTACAATGATAATCTATGCTTTATAGTCTATGTAATGACATTTTAAACAATTTGTACAATGCTGTGAGATCACATGTCATCATTTATTACATTAAATGCTTAAAATGCTATATAAATAATGATTCTGATTCGTTAACTACGTACTTTTTTTTATTACTGAGAAGCAATTTGGCTGGCGCTATGCATGATAATAAAAAATGATGGTCGGTTATGAGATTTATAAAGTGTTTAATGAAGATGGGTTTGTATTGTGGTGAGATTTATGAGATTGGTCGATGATAATTGGTGGAGGTTTCTTGTGGTTTATGTATAATATTTTGAAAAGGTGATGGGATGATATAGAATATACAGTGTTTCCCCGCGACCCATCATTCACTCACCATTTTGGATTATGTCATAAAACATAGCCAATTAGTTTACATAACTATTGTTTAAGTCACTTGCTTATGGTTGACTAGTTCAGAGCATTAAACAATGCACAGTTGCTAATATATTATGCACCACAGGCAAATCACTTTCAAAGGCTGGTTCATAAAGAATTGCAAATGGTATTACCATTTCGTACCAACCAAGTGCAGATGCTTAATTATGCGTAGCATGGTTGAAAATTATGCTCAACTTGGGATATCTTAATCCCAAAAGTCATCTCAACTTGGCATCACTGAACGTCACAGCATATGCAAAACAGAGGGCAATAATGCACATGATATAATGACATTCCCATTGTGGATAAGAAAAGAGTAAGTTTCAATAAAAAAAGTTTATTAAGATATCAAATCTTACCAAGCCGGTGTTCGTCGTTTTTCCTTGGACTTGTTGGTTTGAGCAACATACTGGTCAGAATCAAATAAGTATTTGTAAGTTGGAGAAAAGTATATTTTCCCTTCCTTCCACTCTTTGAATACTCTACCAGCTCTTTGCTCTATCCTTAGCTGTCAAGAGAAATGAAAAGAACATAATGGTAAGACAAAGACAACAAATTGATTACATGTCACGCAAAAACTAATCCAAATCACAGTATCTACGAAGAACATGTTATGTAAGAACCTGGTCCTTCTCTAATAGTGCCTGCCAATCATTCTTCTTCAGTAGCTCAAGTGTATTATCGTAACCAGCAGCAAGACGATAATTCAAATCCCCAAGCCATATAATCTTACTGCAGATACCAAAAAAAATAAATGGCCATTCAGTAACTAAAGGTAGTTTATAGAAAATGATTATACTATTTCTCAAATTGGAAAGAAAGAAAGAAAGAATGAACATACTCATGTTCTAATATGCTTTCAGGGGGTGGTGGTTGACCAAGAGCTTTGAAAGAGTGAGAAAATTTAGTTTTCTTTAAGATCTCTGAGACGTCCAAGTTTCTTCTTATTTCATCACCATCTTTCTCTCCGGAGGCCAAGTGGGTACAAACGAAGCAAAAAGTCGTGTGGTACAATGTCATGCTAATAGATATTGAACCCTGTTAATTAACCAACAAAAACAAAGTAATAAGCAATCACATATTTCATTACTCTCGCTAGTAGAAACTCTACTTGTACTGAAATTAATCTCAGTTGTCAAATGATCCCACTGAAAAATCTACAAATATAATTTCAAAAAAATGGTCAACAACACTAACATGACATGGGAACTTGACAAAACTATATAATATATGTAAGGAAGTTAGAGGAATGAACCAACCTTATTTCCTAGATAGCCCATGATGCCTCTACCAACGCAAGACACTTTTAAATTGGTGACATGCTTGTAAAGATCTTCACGTACCCACACACACAAAAATATACCCACCATTTGTTTACTTGCTATAAGGCAATAATAGTGTTGTTGTTCATGTTCACCAGGGCTACATTGCCTAGACAATGTAGGAGAACTTTCTTCACTGGAGCTTGTGTTAGAATTCAAGGCTTCACGAATCAGGGTTAGCCACTTCGTTGCGGGGCCACTGTCCTCTGGCCCAAGCACGTTCCCTGCGTTGAGAGGTATAATTTCTTGGAACCTAAGGTGCAATGCAACAAAACAAAAATCAGTATTTTATATTATTTCACCATCAAAAGAAAGACGTCAGTTTGTAGGAAGTAATGGAGCAAAATGATTTTCACATGGCATTATTTCAAGTCCCTAGATTATCAGGGGCAAAACAGTCAACCGTGTAGGCCAAAAGCTAAATGCAAATGCAAGTTATTATGAGCTGTGAGCATGTTTGGTTTGCGTGGATGGCGTGGTTCATCCAGCGAAGCTGATCAACTTAACAAGGGTCTTCGACTAAATTACCTCAACAGTTCTTGTATCAGTCCAAAACTAGCTACATGCAAAGTGTTGGTAGCAGTAAAGGTATACACAATGGCGTTATTCAAAAAGTAAGGTATGTACTTGAAACAATTGATTAAAAAATTGATAACTGAATTTAAATAATTAACCAATAATAAAAGAATTACATTTGTGAAAACTGACAGCATAATTATGAGTACAGACTCTGTACTCGTTGAGATTTAAAAACTTCCTTGAAGTGAGTAAACAAGGAAGTTTTCACAGCACAAGAAGTATAACTTCGAAACTGGTCTTGGTAGTAACAAACAAGGAAGCATAAAAGATTACAAAATAATATACCCAATGACGTAGATATCTGCTGGCGAAGGCAACATCAACCAATCCCTCAAGTTCAATCCTTCGTTTGGTGACTTCCCTCCCACATTCCACGTCCCCACGAACATCCTACAAACCCATTCATAGCCCACACCCACCATCATCTTTTCCATCTCAACAAAATTCTACAACCAAAATTTTCCTAAAAAGTAGCACTAATATAATATAGAGAACAACAATTTTAGTTCCGAACACATAACATCATATTTATACGTCAAAACGGGTATGATGGGTATGTTTACCTAAGGTTGAGCATGTCAGTGTCACTCACAGGTGGCGCCTCCTTCACTGATGCCGAATGTTTCAATTCGTTCGTGGAATCCATCAACCACCCCTCTTGAAAAAAATTCCCCCAAACCAAAATCAATACTAAAATAAATAAACAAACAGTAATTTATGCTTCTTTTTTTATCAAAACAAGAGGCCCTATGTGAAACCTAAAGTGTGTAGTTTTGCAATTGCAGGTGCAATGCAATGATCATAGGCCAAATTGAGTTCCAGAGAATTAGCCACCCACGTGGCAGATTCAATGGAAAACGTCCCAGATGGGACCCGGGGCCCGGTAACAAATTTCGCGTACCCTTATCAAAGTCACTTCCTTTTGTTCCATCACCTTGTCTAATCACACTACACTAACCCGTGTACCACCAATCTGTCCCTCCAATTACCCGAGAAATCCACCCCAAAAAATCAAATCAAAAGTTTAAAGCTGTAGGGAAAAAATTAATAGAAGGAAATCCAAAACCGGATTTTACCTGGTAAAGAGTAATCTGAGTGAAAGTTATCATCGTTGCTCCTTTTATTGAGCCACTTTCTTACATTAAAATTTGGCCATGAAGACTGGAAGACGAAAATGAATAAAAGAAAATATTGGGGTGAGAGAGATAATAAAGAACATGTATGACCAATACAACATGTATAACAAACAAGGGCATTTATGTTGGTTGTATAGTGCACATGCACATACCTTGGATATCTTCTTCTTGAACTCTGTTCTCATTGCTCTTCTCCAACTGAACCAAATAAGACAACAGCAAATGATCAGGAACGATAAAATGGCATGAGAACCCGGGTGCCGGAGGTTTAATAGCAACAGCAGGGATTTTTATAATTGAAGTTGGAAATTTTGGTAAGTCATCAAAGGAGAAAAAACAACAAAATGGGTCTGGACAAGAGATTTTATTTTTTCCCTTTTGTACGAGAAAACTAAGTTTATTGATTGAAAATGTTAATAAACTAGTTTTGAATAGTTTTCAACGGCAATATTTAAGACCCAGTTGCAGGGGAAACGGAGACAGCTTCTGAGTACTTAAAATATTAAAAAGAAAAGAGAAATGAAATTTGGGGTTATGTTATAGAATATACCAAAAAAGAGAGAAAGAAAGAGCTTAGAAAAAAAAGGCTAGGTGCATCTTTCTCTTCTGTTCTGAGGAATATTATCCCTTTATTTCAAGCTCCAGTTTTGCCCTTTACAGATAAGAAAAACAGTGCGTGGATGAACCCAGCATCTGTGATCACATTCAACGTTCGTTCAAAAATCGAAAGTTTGCGACTTTTTTCAAGGCAAAATCTGCACACAAGCTGGGGTTGTCTACATCCAAAACTAGAAGATCGAAAAAGAAACGGCGTGTGAGAGTGGATGGAAACACATCAATCAAACTGGACCCGGAATCGGGGTGGTGAAAACGAAACGAGGGACACCAAATCCGAAGGCTTTTCGGGAAAGCGGAAGGAACAAAAAACAAAAGAGAAAAAAAGCATAGCAGTGATAGAAGCAAGACAAGAGTATAGAACAAAAGAGAAAGTAGAATATTACTGAGAAATGAAGTGGGTCAACGACATTGGTTATTGTAGTATAGTGTGTGACGATTGTGTAAGAGATAAACAGCAGTAGGAAGTAACAAACGAAACACTAAAACGATGAAAAGCACTTACGAGAATTGAGGAATATGTTAGTGTGGTGTGGGGTTTCAGTGAAAATGATTCAGAAGTAGAGAGTGGATACGAAAGAGACTGCTTATTCCGGATTTGATGCTTCCTTAGTCCTTCCCCTTTCGTAAATGATGTGAAGAGTCAAGAGAGGTAACACATAAAGGTTGTTTGTGATATATGACACTGCTATGTAGCTTCTAGCTTCTTTGCCTTTATTGGTTTGTAGGGAAGGAAAGGGTGGGAGTGGGAAAGAAATGCAGAGGATGTTTTCTTTTGGTGACCTTTCTTGGAAAAGGTTATTTGGTTTTCTATAACCAGATCAATTATCTTTGCCTCTCCAAATTACACATTCAGGATTTGAAGAAAATAATAACAAACTATAACAACAAAAGTTTTTACATAGAAAGATACTATTTAAGATAAGCTAAACAAATCAAAACGTATAAGAAGAAACATAGATCTTAACCTGTTATATTGTTAAGTTTTGATATTTTTTTTAATGGAAAAAATGGTTTCATGTGAAAATATAAGGATTATTTAGTTAGATCTTTGAATTGTAGTGAAAAATCTTACATGTGAAATTTGATAATTCAATAAGTAGATATTAGTGATGTGTAGATTCGAGAATAAGTTTGTAGAGTTGAATTTGATAAATTTCCATGATAGACCACTTTAAATTATAAGGATCAAAACTATGTAGGTGGTTAATAATTGCTTGGTTGAGTATATTGATTGAGTAGTTGTCATGATAGAACTGAAGTAAGATTAAATTATTGTTATGTTCAGAGAATATTTAGTTTAAATGGTGTTGCTTTGATCTTTGCATGCCAATAAATTAAACTTCAATTGCTAACTTGATGAATTGTATAAATCTGGGAATGTTATGTTTACTTGAATTGATTAATTAGAGTTAAACTATGAGTTTTAAGTTAATTTCAGAATTAAGGTTGAAAACTTTAAGTTTGAGTTGAGGTTTTGGTGAAAGTTATGAGTTTGTAGTAATTTATTAAAATAGGTATTTTTTTTAAATATAAATTTAAAAGAAAAAATTTCTTAAATAAAATCTCTATAAATTTATTTAGGTAACTAGACTTATTTATTATTTATATAAAGAATCTAAAATAAGAAAATAATTTTCTACGATATAATATAATTAATTTTTTTCTATCTTTTTATTATCCTTTTTAGTATATGTTTTTTTTCCTCTCTTTTACTCTACTTTCACATTTTTCAATTAAAATTTGATAAAGTAATTTTTTTATCTTTTATAAAAAATAAAAATATTTAAATGATTTAGAAATATTATAATTTAATATATTATATTTTACAAAAATATTATAAAATAAATTTGAGATATTATAAATATTATTGTTATAATTATTAATAAAAAATTAAATATTATTTTAAAGTAAATTTTAATAAAAATATTTTAAATTTATCTAATCTAACTAATTATCATAATTCAACTTAATTATAATTATAATAAATTATTAATTAAAAAATCTTTAATTCATAAATATTTAATATTTTTAAGTTAGATAAATAATTATTATTATTATTATTATAATAAAATAATTTTAAATTAATTATTTATATTATCATAAATAAAAGTATTTATTGTTATAATAAATAAATATAAATTTTTTTATTATTATAACAAATACAATTATTTATTGATATTATACTTTTAAATAATTAGTTGATATTTTTTTAATTTAATATTAATTTTAAAATATTTATTTGAATATATTTTTATGAAATTTAATGAAGAGAATAGACATGAAATGAGAGAAAAATAAAAGACATATATAAAAAAAATTCAATTAAGAAAAATAAAAAACAAATTACAAGAGAGAAAAAATTATAAATAATAAATAAATTGATAGATAATATTTGTGTAATATTTCTTTTATTATTTATAAGATCGATTCGTAAAATGTGTTGTATAACTTTTTGTCTATTTTTTAATTATATTATATAATATACTTTTTTTATTCATTAAAAAGCCATGCTACATAACCTAATTATTTTTTGTTTTATCAAATTAGAAGTCATGTTATATAATATTACTTAAAAAAACAAATTTAGATGATTGTTTAATATAACAAGTAAAGTTCAAACTTTTGATAAATACATATATGACTAAATTAATATATTTAGGTATATATATATGATTCTTGAAATGTGTCTATTAAACTAAAGTGGGAAAGGGTAACAAAAATAATTACAAATTATCATTCAAAGTAGTTTTTATTATATTATTGGTATATGTTGGACTATTTGTATGCACATAAAAGTTTAATTTTACAAGATAAGAGAAAACAAATGACCTGAGAATGTTACATGAAAAGATAAAATAAAAAATAACTTTATACAAAATTCATATGATGTTATTTATTTATTTTTAAATGCATAAAATTAATTTAAGTATAAAGAAAAAGAATGTCATCATAAGTATCAATGAGAAATTAGTCTCCATGATTTTTATCCTGTAAAATGAAAAAAAAAAAATATATATATATATATATATATGTGAGAAATTTTGATAAATATTGTGAAAAACCTCTTAAAACTTCTTCTATCTTTCTATCTAAATAAATAACTGTTGGAAATTTCAAGCTTATTAATCTGTTGAAACTTTGAGTTTGAACTATTTTGACTTCTTATGGTTTAGTGCGATTGGTTGTTTTTACATTGTATAAATTAGATGTTGGAGGAAATGTTTCAGCAACTATTAAAAAAAAATTATATATATATATATATATAATTGAAATATTGATAGAAAAATTACAAAACATTTTAGCCAGAAAAAATAAAATATAATTTTTTTTCTTTCTCTTTTATTCGCACACTTTCTTTTTCAAAGCTTTAACTATGATTTGCTTGAAAAAAATTGTGATATTTATTTATAATGGACAAACGCCACATTCATACCAATTTTTCTTATATATTGTTTTTCACATAAGATAACCTACAAATAATTATTTATGAAATTATATCTCATTGTATTAATCTAAAATAAAGGCAAAATTAAATAATTATATATACATGATAGTATTCTCTAAAAAATATTCAAGGTCTTTTAATAATTATTAAGTATCCTCAGAGATACTTGTTAGTTAATAAGTAATAAATATCAAATAAATTCTGAATTTACCATAAAATTTAACTATACAAATTCTATATGCAATTGATAGAATGGTAATTATAACCTTTCTCACTACTAAATTCTTTCAAAGGAGATACATAGAGAGTCAAATCTTGCCACTATATAATTTTTGCCAATATTTTACTATTCAAATTTTTTTATTAAACAATGATTTTTATACATTCATATTTAAACTAAAAATTTTACGTAAAACATATAAATTTTTACATTAATGTCAAATTATTAAATTTCTCATTTATATAAAATAAAATCTACCTATTATAATAAATATAAAACATTAGATCAATTATAATTTTTAAATTTTAATCAAATTTAAAACAAATAGTCATACTAATATGAAAATATAATTTAATAATTAAATAGACAAATTCATTATTTCTATAATAGGATTGACAAAATAATCTACAACAATATTGAATTCCTTTTATAATTGTTTTGTTTGATGTCATCGCTAAATATTTATTTATTCTAATCTTTTATCTTCTTTTTTTATAATGATATGTTTCTTTCATTTTTTTTCTAATATAATCAATAAAACACTGTCATTTGTCTCTCTTTTTAAAATAAGGTGATTTTCGTCATTTTTCTCTCCTTATAACATTTTCAATTACGTTTTTTTTATCATCTTAAATTATAAATAAAAATATTATTTATAAAAGGAATAATAAAAAATTGTGGACACAAAAACATGTAAACTCGTATTTATAAAAATTATACAAATATTTGAATATATATATATATAATTAAAAAAATTATTATCATTTATATATATATATATATATATATATATATATGTTAAGTGGTAAAAAATTGATATAATTATACCTTGAATTGTTATGAAATCACTTAACTAATACTAATACTAATTCTAATATATTTTACTCCCAATATAGGATGAA